GATATTCGTATGTCCAACACATGTCAATTTGTGTACATATATTAGTTTTGGGTAATATTTAAAATGCAAAATCTTTCTATACTACAGTTGTTAACAAACATCTTTGATAACAGTCAATAAAATTCTCACTTTTAACATAGCGAGAATATTTTATATATCTGACATCTAAACAATGGTTTTGCATACATCATACCATGGCTGATATGTCAAATAAATGGCCAATGCTCTCAAACTAAGCCATCGACTCTCTCAGTGCACATACCTCAGCTATTTTTGCAAAATTAAATATTAAAAAGTAATACTGAACATGTTACAATGCACGCATTATAAAGAAACGTGATAGAAAAAAAAATTGTTTGATTTGATCAAGTCTTGTTGCTCATACATAAAATTTAGAAATACTCTTGCTAAACAGCAAATGAGCTTGCAGTCGTCATGCCAACATGCCGCAGTGTTTTCTGGCATGATGACCAGTGCTGTGATGTTGCTACTACTTGCCCCTATTACCGTATTAATGTGACTAGATGGTGGGTGTGATTGTGGCATCATTCTGTTGTTGACCAATTGTTTTAAAGTTGAACACATTATAAACTAATGTCGCCTTGCTCGGTAGTATTAAAGCGAGAGGGTCGTCACCTGGGCACGTGCAGGAATTGAGTCCCAAGTGATCATAACAACACGCGCTAAAAATACAAAAGCTCATGGGTAGATGCTTGTTTGTAAACAATGACACGCTATGGTCATCTGACGCATGCACGACAGTCATGCTTTTTGTCACTGTGATTCACAGTCTAAAGCACCTCGATGGAATGTCCATGACTAGAAAATGTCATCATTTTTATAGAATTGAAAAAATTCGACTTTCTTTCTGTATAAAAAACAAAACAACATTCTTCACAAATGCAAGATTTCACACTGTAAATACGCATTGTTAATACGTATTCCAGATCTACCACTATCACCAGATCAGTGCTTATGGCAACTTAAACATCTCAAATATACTTTAAATCGCTTTAAAATTCATGAAATGTTGCAGCAATGTCCATAATGAGTTGTCGCTCAGAACTCATCAAATTTTTTATGTTTTGCCTCGAAAAAGGAAAGCAGTGACTTTCATGCAATCCTGAGGTTGCCACAAAGTGTGTGTTTTCATGTAATCAATGTATTTTACATATCACAGAGTCTAAACAGGGACTGTGTACATATATAAACATTTGTATACGTTTTTATGGAACCCATATTGAACCTGATGACTAGCGCCCTTCAAATAATCAACTCGCAATTACAGTAGTATAACAGGGTGACACTTGAACACTGAGTTTGTTTTGTTACAACAGAATATAATCACAGTATGACAGTGAAGAAAAATTATAACAAACTTCACGGAAATTAAGAATAAAAACTAAGTTTTAACAGCAAGTGTAAATATCAGTGACTGAATCTTTGGTTGAATGCCACAAGTATGACGAGCATTATAATATATACAATTTACACATCTCTATATTTACAGTCTAAAGTTCTCAACATGCATTATTTTATGGGGGGAGGGGGCTAATCTTAGGAGGGTACGAATAAATTTCACTGTTAATTAGTCTATACATGATTTATCAGTGCCTATGTAATCAAATTGACACCCTCTTCTTTAGATTTACCCGCCAAAAATGGTTTCTTCTCTTCTGGCTACATTTAATAGCATATTTTTGTTATTAGTAACATATGAGCTTACCGGTATAAGAAGAGAGGTGTGTCTGTGGTCAAAATAATTAATATTTTAATGATTCAGCGTCAATAAATGCAGTTTATGTGCGCTTCCATTTGTGGTGCACTTAAAGCAAACATAGTAACTGTATTTCCTATATTTGAAACTCATACTATCACAAACTGTAAACCTATGTCTTGTTACCAATTACTGAAAACATTTTAATTTTGTTTGTCCATTTTTGTTCAATTTCAACTTCGCTAAATTGCACAAACATAACTTGGTTACTTCAAAAGAGACCAACAATCTAAATTATAAGCATAGGAATAAATTGTATTTGTTCTATTAGAAGTGAATGCAATAGTGTAATTGATCAGTGTGACTTCAGTGTGTTTAAAAAAAACACATCAAAACTAACATTTCCGGGTCAGACACATGTATGCCCTAATTGCAAATAATGTAAAATACTTTATTTTCGCTTGGAATTTTGGCTATTTTCCCTGAAGGAATTCAGTCTTTATAAGTCTAATAAGTCTTTTCAGCGAAAATTAATTCCAGCTAAAATAAAGTATTTTATAGTAGATAATCAGTGATTACTGGAATGTAAAAGCAAAGTTTCAAATTTTCATACCATAATTGCGATTTCCAAACATCTTTGTTTTATGAAAATGATGTGTAATGTGCAAACAAACAAAATGCACCACTCTTTGTTAAAAAAATTATTACTCTTATCAAAAAGTAAATTATCTATTAAATTTAAACATGGTGTGTACCACCCTACCTATCCCAGGCTGGCCTAATCAGGGCAACTCTGAGGGGGTTAAAAACAGTTCAGGTAACAGAGAAATACCCCTCTACCTATCATAGATTATTGTCTTCATAACTACCAACCTAATCTAGGCTACTCTGTGGAACACAACACAAGCTCCCTAAAGGGGGCACTATTTTCAAATCCCTACTAGTATAATGGTTTATTATTACTATAGTTTTTGCATAGATTTAAGTGATTTTATTGAATATTCCAAATATTTTCTGGAAGTAACACTCTGGTGGGTCACTCAAAGTACATGCATGACACACGATTTAGATAAATTCTCACAGCTGAGTGTAAAAAGAAAACTGTTTTAAGCACTACCCATCAGCCAGCGATGGTTGGCACGGCGGCGACGTAGTCTGATGATGGCAGCATCCACTGATGCTGCTCCATGTTTATCTCTCTTATCATCATCCAGTCTCATTCTAGCTAGATGTAACATCCCAATGTTACGACTAGTTGCCAATAATGATGCGTCCAGACCAGCTGCACCCTGTAACGAGAAGTAGCATAATAGTGATATCAGAGTTG